CCGAGAGAGCCGAGAGGCGCTACCGGGAGAGGTCGGTGAAGCGCAAGGTCAAGGACGCGGAGCCGGAGTCCCCCGACGACGAGTGGACGTTCCCGCTGGAGAGGAAGGCCAAAGTGCAGACCATCCAGAAGGCGTCGGAGGAGTCGGAGTCGGAGTCGGAGGACAGCGGCCCCGAGAAGCCCGAACTTCCCAAGCAAGCCCGGCTACCACTGCCGCGGCCCAGGATCCGTTTCAGTTTCGCCCCCAGGTTGTCTCGCCGCTGGTCGCAGTGGTCGGCCACCGACACCCGTCCCCGCGACAGTGTCATCAACGAGCTAGCGAAGATGGGCGATCCCGACCTCCTGGAAATGGTGGAGCAGGAAGGTAGGACCCCCTTGGAGAGGCACCGGGAGAGGGCGGGCTGCCCGCGTGGACCCCTCCATTCCCAGCACCAGGACCCAGGGGACGTTGGCGGCCCTGCCGCGGGAGTACCGGGGACGTTCGCTGAGTGGCCAGCCCTGCGCAAGACACACAGCAGTATGGACATTGGGTGCTTGAGCTGGGTAGGTGGGTTTCCTTGTCCCGCGATTTCCTGTGCCACCCTCATTGCTCCCCAGGACTCCACTGAGCCCCTGTGCAATTCTGGGCTGCTGGAGTGTGCTGAGCCTCCTCACAGGGCCCGACTGGAAAGGAGGGATTTCCCCCAAGGGAGTCACAGCTTAGAGTGCAAGATGGGGTGCCCTCTCCTGTAGGGAGCTGGCCCTCGGGTCTGTTTGCCTACCTGTCTGCTGATTACCAATCATGGGTGGAGATGCTCAATTATGGGAGGCACAGACCTTAAAGTTTCTCTGTCTGAGATTCCTTTGTTCCTGGGGACACTACTGTTTTAACAGAACAGCTTGAGTTGAAGGCTAAGTTCTGTAGAGAAGTATTTGTCCATTCTTTGCACAGACCTATGCTCTGAGGATCTATTTTAATAAACACATTTTCTTTAAAATGCACTTAGCTTTTTGCTCAGTTTCCGAGACAATAATTTCATAATAGTTTCAATGACAATAATTTCATGTCCAGTTTAGAATTTGATCTAAACCTGAAAAGCAACTTTTTTTAAAGTAATGAAATACACGAGCATACTGTTACTATTCAGTTTTCAGAGACCCAAGAAATAGTGTATTATTGCATCCTTGTATCCTTTAAAAACAGCTTTATTGAAATATAATCTATATACCATAAAATTCACCCATTTAAAGAGTAAAGTTCAATTGTCTTACAGATTTTTGTAATCATCACCATAAAGTAATTTTAGAACACTTTCATCACTCCAAATAGAAACTGCCTATGCAGTCATTTCCCATCCTTCTCAGTTCCCACCAAAAAAATAGCTTCAGGCAGCCAATAATCTATTTACATTCTCTATAGATTTACCTTTTCCAGACACTTCATATAAGTAGAATCATACAATACATGGTCTGTTGCAACTGGTTATGTATATTGGCATGCTTTTGAAGTTCATCCATTTATCAGTTCATGATGACTTTTAATTGCTAAGTAATGTTCCATTGTAGAGATGTACCAAAATAATCTAGTTATTAGGTGGTGGTCAAATGGGTTATTGAAAACATATTTTGGAGGGTATATTCCTAGGAAGGGGATTCCTGGATCATGTACTAGCTCTATGTTGCTTATTTTTCCAAGTGTCTGTATTGTTTTATTTTCCCACCAGTAATGTATAAGGATTTAAATTGTTTCACTTCCCAACACTTGTTATTGTCTGCTTTTATTATAATTATTCCAGTAGTTGTGAACTGGTGTCTTAATATGATTTTATTTGTATTTCCCCAATGACTAATGTGTAAACTATTTTATATGCTTATTTGTTATATATATATGTGTGTATTTACATATATTTGTATATGTTTATATATTCTTTGAGAAATGTTTATTTTCAAATCCTTTTGCTCATTTTAAAATTTGAGTTAATTTTCCTTTTATTATTGATTTGTGAGAGGTCTTTATATATTCTAGATATCAGTCCTCTTTTTATATATATGACAAATATTTTCTTCCACTTCATGGGTTATCTTCTTTTATTCTTTTGTTCCAGGTCACTTGAACCTCATGCCCCCCCCTTTACATTTAAAAAAACTAATTTGAGGGGGCTGGGGTTGTGGCTCAGTGGTAAAGTGCTTGCCTAGCATTTGTGAAGCACTGGGTTTGATTCTCAGCACCACATATAAAGAAATAAAATCAAGATCCATTGATATTTAAAAATAAAAACTAATTTGAGGATAGAAGAAAATGAAGCTATAAACAACTCTATGCTTTGAATAATGACTGATAAATATATTTATTAGGAAAAATAATTGTTCAGTGTTGCAAAAAAACAGTCAAATGGCTTTTAGAAGTATAAAATTGAAAATCATTTTTCATATTCATTTGATGGTTTAGGCTTTTGTTGAGATTTATTTCCTGTTTTAATTTTAGTAATTGAAGAGTCTAAATGGATTTTTTCATTTATAGCATTCAGTAATTTTTTAAAATTGATCCTTTTCAGATAAAACTATGAGAGCCCAAAATTTTATTCTTTATTGAAGGAAGAGTGGAGGGAATAAATGTATATGATGAAATTTTCTCTGTATAATTTTTTTGTTTTGTTTTGTTTTTTATGGTCCTGGGGATTAGACCAAGGGCCACACATGTGCTAGGCAAGCACTCTATCCCTGAGCTACTTCCCCACCCTTCTTTATATAATGAAGAAAATATATTTTAATATAACATTATAGAGATTAACCAATACTGTCTTTCAATTGTTTGGAGTCTGATGATTTTACTTACTAGAATCTATACTTGGAACTAATATCACTTTAACATGAAGTCACATGCAGCATAAGTTCATTCTAAAAATGTTTTAGTACTTTTCCCCAAATGACTTGAGTTTTCTCTTTTCATCACAAAAGACTTTGTAATATTTATTTATTTATTTACTTGAACTTGGGATTGAACTAGTGACACTGCACTGTATAGAGCTACATTCCCAATCCTTTTTATTTAGCCTTGTCTAAATTGCTAAGACTGATCTTGAACTTGACAACCTCCTACCTTAGCCGCCTGAGTTGCTGGAATTATAGGAATGCACCAAAGCTTTGTAATTTATTTATGCTCTCTCATCTGATTTTGATGTAGGTGAGAAAAAAGAAATTGATGAATAATACTATATATTTGATGGATAAATCTATGACTTTATCCTTCCCAAATATCTGTGCCCAGATTTGTTCACAGATCCAGAATCCAAGTTGCAGAGAGTTGTGGCATTGGTGGGAGCAGGGCCCAAGAAGGAGAGTGGACAAGGCCACTCAAATATCTTTTATATTCTGGATGCAAAATTAAAATGTCAATTACTTTACTGAATTGGCTTTGTTACCCATTATCTTCTGTTATTAATAGGGTCTTCTGAAAGTGCATTGTGTTTAAGATGTTTATTTTAATATCAACAATCCATTGGATTTTTAGAAATCCCCTTTTAGATCCCTCCCCACCTTCGAGTTAAGTGACACAGTTATAAAAACAAAAGTGCTGGCCAAAGAAAGCTAAAATTTTCTAGGTTCTGGAGCAATCAATTTTTAGAAGCCACTTTCATTTCTACATTTTATAGTGTCAAAGGATTTTTTTAGAGTAAGTTCATTTCCTTACATGTAAACTAGTTTTATATGTTATGTGTTGCCTAAATTGCCTTCAAAGATTAAACATGGGAGAATTAAACAATTGATTTACATGTAATAAGATTTGTTTCTAGAGAGACAATTAACATCTGGTCTGTTAAATATAATAATGTGAAATTTTTGATTTGTTGCATTTTCCTCAGTCTGTTTTTATTCAGATATTTCTGATTGGCTATTTTCCTACTGTCTACTAATTTTTAAAATGAAATTCTAATGTAAATTTGTAATAGTACACTTAAATAGTTATGTAAACAAACAGTAAAAAGGTCAATATCACTGGAATTGAATTACTAAGTAGTTGACATTATAAGGAATCTGATTTGCAAGGTTCATGCTTTGATTTATGTACAGTTAGCATTGGAAGAGACAGTTTGAAAGTTGAATGTAAAAAAAAAATCTATGCTTAGAATCTATACATAGAACTAATACCTTTGCATGTATATTAAGCATCATGCTTAATAAAACCACCTATCATTAAGAAATGTAGATATTTGATTGTATATACAGTCATGAGCTGTTGAATTTCAGTGATATGTTCTGAGAAATACATTGTTAGATGATTTCATTTTGTGGGAACATCATAGAGTACTTACACAAAAATGGATGGTATAGCCTATTATACATCTAGGATATATTATAATCTTACATACATTGTGTTATATGTTGTCTATTATTGACAGAAATGTTATTATGCTAGCACAAAACTATATTTTATTTTATGCTGCTGGTAGGAATGTAAGGTGAGAAGACCATTCAAGAGCTATTTTAGGACTCTGGGTTTGCTGGAGAGTATATTCTTAGGAATATGCTTTCAGTGAAAACTCAGACCTTAGTCTTTGAGCTGGCTTTTCTTTTAGCATCTATTAGA